TTTAGTATAGTATTATATATATTGTACTACTGTTTTCCAAAATTGGATAAATAAACACAACTTTTGCAGTCTGATTAAAGGCTAAAATATATATATATATATATATATAATATATAGTTTTAAAGTTATATTACAATATATTATAAATAGATATTATTAATATAAAGATAAAATAAAAAACTCACATGATCACAGCTTGCCACCCATATAGACATAATCCATTCTGATCCAAAACCTAATTGGTTCAAAACATTCACAAATACCAGAAATCTAAAAAAATCTTATGGTCCAATACCAAATTTCAAGTCAATATTTTGATTTATCCATAATATCAATATGATAGTCAAAACTCACAAAAAATACTGAGCAATACAAGAAAATATTCTACTCAAGGGAAAACACTTTATAATAAATCTTAACAACACTCTGATTAGATGCTCAGACTGTCCAACTGGTTTACTTTCCCAAGGATTCTGTTGATTAAAGTTCACAAATACAGTAGCCTTAACATTATAAATTCAAACTAGTCCATTCAGTAATAAAAAATAATGACTACTTAATATAACAGATAAAATCTTTATTTCATCACAAAACAATAAACTTATTTTACAAGAAGTCAACATCCCCACTACTTCCCTTTTCTAGACTCTTTTGCAAGAACTCAACTTACAATAGCATACTCATATTTAGTTTTACAAAAATAATCTAATTTTAAATAATATCAAAGTTGAATTCTTCAATCTCTACTTATTACTAGACAACATTCTACTTGCAATATTTGACATCATCCAATGGAATTAGCAGTACAACATTTTGAAATCAGAAATAACAAAAAAATTCTTTAACCAGTTTTCAAATACCTTAGAAGAATAATAAAAATCAATTTTTCAGTATTAATTCAAAGAATAATTCTTCAAATACAACAAAAATCAATACAGATAATATATACCAAACCTAAATCCAAACCACTATTAATCAGATTTTTTCAATGGAACAATTCTCTATCACACTTTTCAGAAAATCCACTAATTAACAACACATGCCTCAGCAGTAGTGTTAGGTGATGCTATGGTTCCGAAAATTGGAATCGAACAGAATCGCAGGGAATCGCATGAGGTTCGGAACACTATTAAAAATGATGGTGGGGTATACCCCACCTATTAAATTTAATATAAACTTGAGAATCGAATACAGAATCGAAGAGAATCGTTAGGATCCTTAGGTGATGCAAAAAAAATTTTAGTATTATTAGGAACTATATAATATGTGAAAGTTTCTTTGTTACTCAAACTTTTGGATGGGAGCATACTCCATATGACCTAAAAGTTATTATCAAATCCAATAAGGACATCAAAAAACTGCATAATAACAGCTATAGCAATATAATTGCATTCAGAATCAAACCACTCCCAGACACTATATTCACTTGCAAAACCCTTCACTAGCTATATTCTGACCAGTACCCAGATGCTTGGTGCCTAAGGTATAAATTCTGTATTAAGGATATTTATTATATTTTCAAATGTCTTGAGATCTCCATCGAAGCTGATTAAATAATTAAAAGTATTAACCAAATTCTTCATTCAAACAATAACTCAACACCAATCTCACATACTGTATATGGAAGTAACTGAACTATCTTGCAACTTTACAGATAAAATTTTCTCCATAACAGACTTCTTTAGTTGAGTTAAGACAGCTAATAAATCCATAATCCAGTTATACAATCTTATTTGGAAACCATGCTGCTCTATAGTCAACATGTTACCATCTACTGGAATTAAATAGAACTCTAATAAATCTTCTACACTATCTTGTTCTTTTAAACCATCCAACAATCACAACTCTCAAATTGAAATCCAATTAATCTTTATCTCTCCTGAAAAAATTATAATTGATCTACCTAATATTGTTGTAATACATTTATTCAATGTAAATATAATTATCCCAAATGTATTCAGAAACTAATATCACTATTACCAACATCTCTTCTTTTAATACTGAGTAAGTATTCATAGCTGCTCAGTACTATTTGACAAAATATATTGTTTTAAATTTTTTTTCAATATTAGTCAAATAGTTACTGTGAATAAGCTAGCATTTAACTCATTGTACTTATATATGAGAGATGTTGTTTCTTTTATAATGTATACCTTGACATATACATAGGGTTCCGAAAAAGTACCGAACTGGTATCGAAATGATACCAATCTATAGTAAATTTAATATATGGGTTGTGATCTACTCATATGTTTTTATAGTAAATTTAAGTATCGAACTAGTATCGAAGTAGTATCAAAATGGTATTATTAGAAGCCCTACTTAAAGGTTTTTATAATTTTTTTTTATAAACAAACTGAAGTCAACTATGCTTTGAAAGAGTTTTCAATTTTAGAAAGCAGATATGGACAATATTATTAATAGTGTAGATTATATTTGTATTATTATTTTTGTAAATAATTATAACTAGGTATTTGTCAATATCAGTAATAAAACTATTAAATAGAGTATATATTAATTCAATAAGTTGACTTTTGAAAAGTTAAAAAGATTTCAAATTCTTTGCAATTTTTTGAAAAGTAAAATTTTGTTTTTTTTTTTAATAATTTTTATCAATTGCAAGTTGATGTGAAAAAAAGATTTTTTAAATAATTTTTTTGATTATATTTTTTAATATATCTCTATTAATATATTTTATTATTGTTGTTATAATTGCTTGATGCCATTTGATAAGATACAGTATATTGTTTTAAATTTTATTTTTAATATTAGTTATATAATTACTATAAGCAAACTAGTATTTAATTCATTGTATCAACATATAAGAAATTTTGTTTCTTTTATAATGTATACTTTATTACATATAAATCAAATAAAAAAATAATAATAATAAAAATATTTATATATTTTATTATTATTGTTGTTGTTTGCTTGTTTTTTGATATTGGATAGAAAGAAATAAAATGTAACTATAGTTATATAACTAATAAATATAATAATAATAATATGTTTAAAATAATTAGGTAATAAAAAAAGAATAAAAAGAATTATGAAAAAGGATTATATTATCTGACTTTAACTATGTTATTGTATTAGCACTTATTATGTTATATCTAAACTGTTATGGTCAAATATGACTGTATCAGAATGTAGGTAAGATTTTCTGGTTACGTGAAATATTACATTGATTAGACATATCAATTTCTGGTACTTTGATCCAATTCGTATATTAATTGTGTAACAAAAAAAAAGCTTATTATATTATATAGACTAGTGTAAAAAATTTTTTTTTATTCTTTCTTTATAAAAAATCTATTGCAAAAATAATGTCCAAGGAGTTGACCCACGCCATGTTGGTTCACATAATTGCCTTTGCCATGCTTTTTCAATGTCATTTAGTATTGTAAACAAATGATTTGAATTATTAACAACCCCAGCAACGTGGCGCAAGTTATTAACTGAAAGTTCTTGCTCAAGATATTCTATCATACACTTTATAGCAGCTACCTTAAGCACACAAGTTTTACGTATTTCTGGATTTGATATTTCATCATCTCTATCCATTTCGATATATTTATCATCTGATATATTTAATTGCGAAATTAAAAACTGATAAATACTCATTCTTTTTGACATATTCTGTGACTTATTAGCATTCCAGACAAGAAAAGGATAGTCTTCCCGTTGTTCAAAATTGCTATACAATAGACGAATGCCTTGTGGATCTTTCATTTTTGCCTCTTCAATTGCACGATGAATCAAATGCTTACAAATGAGAAAACGACTACAAAGAAATACTGGACAACTGCATATTCAATGTGCCAAGTCAATAAAGTAATATTTTTCATATTTATTATTAATTGGCTTTATAATAAGCTATTTCCAATTATTCTTAAAATCATCAAACCAGGAAGGTGCCGTTTGCCCTAAACGTATTTGTTCAAAATGAGTAATTTGATCTGGAAGAAGCTGTGTACAAATAATCCATATAAGATAATCAAGTTATGATTAATTAAATCGATAAAGGTAACAGTGCTTGACAACTCTCCAATAAGATTCAATAAGTATTGTCATATATCGTTTCTACCTCAGGAGAAAAATAAAGACGGAGAACTAGTAGCAGGGAGGCACTTTAGATGGAC